AAGATATGTGCAGTGTACATGGGATTTTGTTCATGGTTTTTTTTTTAAACTATAGTCCAGCCCTCCAACGGGTCTGAGAGACACTGAACTGGCCCCCTGTTTTAAAAGTTTGAGGACCCCTGATGTAAATAGTAACGATTTACATTGCCAAAAGGATTTGCAATGAAGAACTCTTTGTTCTTGCAAAATTCTCATGCAATATCCAGCTTCATTTCTATCATCAATACTATATTTTCCTACTTCTGATCCTTTGTCTTTTTTCCCATCTTTTCCATTGTAATCACCAGTGTCCGGTCTCCCGCACTGTTGTTATCGTTACGTGCCAGGGAGTGGGTTCTGATTCGTAGCAACCCTGTGCACCACGAACACAACACTGCCCAGTCCTGCACCGTTCTCACAAGTGTTCTTATGTTTGAGCCTATTGCTGTGGTCTTGTGTCGTCTACCTTCTTATCAATGGTCTCCCTCTTTTTCTCCACCTCTCAACCTTACCGAGCATGATGTGTCCTTTTCCAGGGACTGGTCTCTCCTAATAACATGTCCTCCCAAAGAGCATCTGGCAGTACTTCCAAGACAGATCTGTCTGTTCTTTTGGCAGTCTGTGGGACTTTCAGTATTACTCACCAGCACCATAAGTCAAACATTCTTTGGTCTTCCTTATCTGTCTCACATAGAGCTCTCGTTTTCCAGCTCTGTCTCGCACAACATTTTCCAGCTAGATTCTATAATTCATTGCAGTGGCCACACAGAACCTAAAAGATAATACTCATGATTATGTGATGACTTACGGAAGTTAACCGGTTACAATTCCAGTGAGAAATACTCGAGACAGTTGTTCATTTAAGACATGCTACAAAGTTCTTTTAGGGATGCTAATAAATACCCAACGGGCCTCCCACTCTGCTTTAAGTCTGCACCTGAAGGCCCTCCACTTCAGCTCTGTGAGTCAGTGAGCCCAGCTCACCCAGTTATTGCCCAGAGGCACCCCACTTCACAAGCCAACCTCCTGACCCAAAGCTCTCAGCTTTACTTGCTGGCAAGTCCAAGGCTCTGCTTCGTGTTTCTGGCTCCTGGTTCTGCTGTTGCTGCTGTTCCGACACTCTTCTGCCATCAAAGCTCTCTCCTCTGGGATCAAGGATTTTCAGTGTTCGGGGATATCAAGGTCTAGAGAAATCTGGCTCTTGCTGGTAATGAACTCCTGCTTTCAAGACAGTTCGTCTTGCACACAGAAGCACGGTAATTGCAATGAAACCTGTTGGTGATCTTTCCCAAATGAACCCTCAATATTTTCCCCCAACCTTCTCTGACCCCAGACCCATCAGGAAAGGCTGTGTGGTAGAAATGACAGAGACTCTGGCTAAAAGAGCCACATTAAATAATTTGCTGCCCTGCAACCAATGATCATTGCATCTTGATTGCATGTTAGATCAATATCAGAATGAAGAAGTTGGTAGAATTCTGCAGTTTCTTCTTCATTGGCTTTAGTGGTTAGCGTGTAGATTTGAATAATAGTTGTATTAACTAGTTTCCCTGTAGGTCACATACAACAGTGTACTTAATGGTAGATCTTAAAACGTTCTTTCTGATAACGAATGTGACATTCATTATTTGCCAGTAAGCATGCCTATGAGCAGTAGCAGTCATTGAGGGAAAGCAAATTATATTAGAATGAAATTCATAATCTCCAATGTTTAAAATTAAAAGGGTTGAAATGTTCTGAATTTTAAATACCCTTTTATAAATGTAATATAATTTTCATATTATTTAAAATAATATACTAAACATACTATAAACTATCCAAATGTTTTATTGGCAAAGCCTAGAGCAACTGAATTTTTCCATACATCACTGACAGGGATTTAAAGTGATAAAGCCACTGTAGAAGATCATTTGGTAGTTTCTTTAAAGGTAGACTTACCATGCAATTCAGAAATCTCAAACTTTTACCCCAAAGAAATGAAATCATAAATCCCATAGAAATGTGTACATGGAAGTAGATCTATGAGCCTATATTTATAGGTTTAGTAGTAAGGTAGCAGAAGGACATTGGGCCTCCACTCAAGTACTCCCTCAATGCAAGAATACTTTCTTCTATTAAATTGGCATTCTATGATGCTCACCTT